AAGGTAGGTGAGGACCTGGAAACAATCATTATTACGCAAGAGGTAGTGTCGGGCAGGCTAATGGAGCTAAGGATTGATAAGTCTCCTGGCCCTGATGGAATGCATCCCAGGGTACTAAAAGAGATGGCGGGAGAAATAGCAGGTGCACTGGCGGTAATTTTCCAAAATTTGCTGGACTCTGGGGCAGTCCCAGCAGATTGGAAAACAGCAAATGTGACGCCACTGTTTAAAAAGGGAAGTAGACAAAAGATGGGGAATTATAGACCGGTTAGCTTAACCTCTGTAGTGGGGAAGATGCTTGAGTCTATTATCAAGGAAGAAATAGCAAGGCATCGTGATAGAAATTGTTCCGTTGGGCAGACGCAGCATGGGTTCATGAAGGGCAGGTCATTCTTTAAAAATCTTTTGGAATTCTATGAAGACATTATGAGCAAGGTGGACAATGGCGACCCAGTGGATGTGGTGTACCTAGATTTCCAAAAGGCCTTCGACAAGTTGCCGCATAAGAGGCTACTGTATAAGATAAGGATGCATGGCATTAAGGGTAAAGTATTAGCATGGATAGAGGATTGGATGACTAACAGGAAGCAAAGAGTGGGGATAAATGAGTGCTATTCGAGCTGGCAGTCAGTGACTAGTGGTGTGCCTCAGGGATCGGTGTTGGGACCGCAATTATTTACAATTTATATAGATGACTTGGAGTTGGGGACCACGTGTAGGGTGTCAAAGTTTGCAGATGACACTAAGATGAGTGGCAGAGCAAAGTGTGCAGAGGACTGTGAAACTTTGCAGAGGAACATAGATACATTGAGTGAGTGGGCAAAGGTCTGGCAGATGGAATACAATGTAAATAAATGTGAAGTCATACATTTTGATAGGAGTAATAGAAAAAGCATTATTACTTGAATGATAAAAAGTTGCAGCATGCTGCTATGCAGAAGGACCTGGGTATCCTTGTGCATGAATCACAGAAGGTAGGTCTGCAGGTACAACAAGTAATTAGGAAGGCAAATGGAATTTTGTCCTTCATTACTAAAGGGATTGAGATTAAAAGCAGAGAGGTTATGTTGCAGCTGTACAAGGTGCTGGTGAGGCCACACCTGGAGTACTGTGTGCAGTTTTGGTCTCCTTACTTGAGAAAGGATGTACTGGCACTGGAGGGGGTGCAAAGGAGGTTCACTAGGTTGATTCCGGAGTTGAGAGGTTTGGCTTATGAGGAGAGACTGAGTAGATTGGGATTATATTCATTGGAATTCAGAAGATTGAGGGGGGATCTTATAGAAACATATAAAATAATGAAGGGAATAGATAAGATAGAAGTAGAGAGGATGTTTCCACTGGCAGGTGAAGCTAGGACAAGAGGGCATAGCCTCAAGGTTAGAGGGAGCAGATTTAGGACTGAATTGAGAAGGAATTTCTTCACCCAGAGGGTTGTTAATCTATGGAATTCCTTGCCCAGTGAAGTAGTTGACGCTACTTCAGTAAACGTTTTTAAAGATAAGGTAGATTTTTTTTGAACAATAAAGGAATTAAGGGATACGGTGAGAACGCGGTTAAGTGGATCTGAGTCCACGAAAAGATCAGCCATGATCTTATTGAATGGCGGAGCAGGCTCGAAGGGCCGGACGGCCGACTCCTGCTCCTAGTTCTTATGTTCTAAAAGAGTTCAGATAGGTGATTGACACAGCAGACTGCCAGCCCCAAAATGGGGTATCTCAAATTGGGTAGGTAGAGAGAGGACCCAGGGGAATGAGCTACCAACTTGTTGAGAGAAGACCATGAGTTCTTGTACATTAGCTCGGCATACTGTATTGTTTGACTTTGTCTACTGCCAACTATTGACAGATTGCTGAAATGCTGGAAACTTAGGAGAAGCTTCTTTCAGAGTATAGTTGAGGAACAGCACCCTGAAATACTATGGTGATGCTTCAACAGCAGAGGTTGCCAATGAAGTGATTGAACTTTATTTGTTCTCTTTTTACGCAATGCTCTGAAACTTTTCATGGGTTATATTGAAGTTTAGTAGCTACATTGTTTAACATGGTGTATAAGCTGATGACTGATATGGAGAGATGTACTGGGACAAGTAAATGTGATAAAGAATTTTCAACTAAAGAAATACACCAGTGAAAGAAATGACTTGTCTGACATCAGTGTTTGCAACAGGAAGACCAAACAAGCCCTTGCAAATGACATGTCCTTTGAAGAATGGTTCTTAAGTGTGCAGGATTGACATGGAATATGCTGTTTAAAGGACACAATGTTGTGGAATTCTATCCATCTCTGAGGTGAAGCACTGGCAGATCAAAAAGCAAAGGTACCTCAAACTTTCCACACTGCCCCAGCACAGAGATGACCATGTTTCCAGACATTCCCAGTAAAGAGACAACTCGTGACGATGAACAGTGTTTCCAAACCGTCCCAAGAGAGTGATGACCGGTGATGATGAGTGGTGTTTCCATACCATCCTGGAACTGTGATGACTGACATTTCCAGACCACTCAATGTCAGTGATGACTGGGGATGACCAATGTTGGTGACCGGTGTTTCTTCACACCAGGACGGTGGTGATGGCTACTATTTTGACACTTCCCCAGGACAGTAATGACTGGTATATCCAGACAGACCAGGAAGTGATGATGTGATAATGATCAGTATTTCCAGACTGCCCCAGAACAGTGATGACCGGTGTTTCTATTCTACCCTTAGACAATGATAATAACCGGTGTTTCCACACCATGCCACAACAGTGCTGGCCAGTGTTCCCAGATCACTCCAGGAGTGAGATGATTGAAATGATGACTGGTATTCCCAAACTGCCCCCAGGACAATGATGACCAGCACTGCCCCAGGACAGTGATGACCAATTTTGGTGACTAGGGTTTCTTGACCACCCCAGGACAGTGAAGATGACCACTGTTTTCACACTGCTCCAGAACAGTAATGACTAATGTTTCCACACTGCCACAGGACAGTGATGACTGGTGATGACGACCAGTGTTTCCACAATCCCCCAGGTCAGGGATGATGATGGTGGTGATGACCTGGTGTTTCCCGACTGCCCAAAGACTGTGATGACTACTGATGGTGACTGGTGTTACCAGACCACCCCAGATGAGGGATGATCAGTGTTTCCAGACTGCCTGAGGAGGGATGATCAGTGTTTCCAGACTGCCCCAGGACAGGGATGACTGGTGATTTTATACTGCCTGAGGACAGTTATGACCGGTGATGATGACCAATGTTTCCACAGCTCCCTAGGTTAGGGATGACTAGGAAAGCTGAGGGTGATGACTGGTGTTTCCACACTGCCCCAGAACAGTGATGACCGCAGACGACAGGTATTTCCAGATGGCCACAAAATGGAATTACCGGTCATCTCAGTCCTGGGGCAGTCTGGAAAAACTGGTCATCATCTCTGTTCTGGGGTGTAATGGAAACACTGGTCATCACTGTCCTCAGGCAATATGGAAACACTGGTCATAAGCACTGGTCATCACAGTCCTAGGGTGGTCTGGAAAAACTGTGACGACCAGTATTTCCACACCATCCCAGGACAGTGATGACCAGCGATGATGACTGTATTTCCAGATCACCCCAGGACAGTAATATCTGCTGTTTCCAGACCACCTCAGGACAATGATAACTGGTAACAAAAACAGAAATTGCTGGAAAAACTCAGATGGTCTGGCAGCATCTGTGGAGAGAAAGCAGAGTTAACATTTTGGTGCCAGCGAACCTTCTTCGGACAGTGATGGCTGGTGTTTCCACACATCCATGGACAGTGATGACTGCCGTTTCCACACTGCCCCAGAACGGTGATGACCGGTGTTTCCAGACAATACAGGACAGTGATGACCCAGGATGACAAGTGTTTCCAAACCACTCCAGGACAGTGAAGTCCAGTGATGAAGACTGCTGTTTCCAGACCATCACAGGATAGTGAAGACCAATGTTTCCATACAACTCCACGACAGTGATGAACGGCGATGATGACTAGTGTTTCCACACTGCCCCAGGACAGTGATGACCAGTGATGATGACTGGTAACAAAAACAGAAATTGCTAGAAAAACTCAGAAGGTCTGGCAGCATCTGTGGAGAGAAAGCAGAGTTAACATGTTGCCACAGGTCCCTGGGTCAGTGATGTCCAGGGAAGCTGATGGTGATGACTGGTGTTTTTACTGCTCCAGGACACTGAACACCGGTGATGGTGACTGGTGTTTATAGACCACCCCAGGACAGTGATGAGAGCAGGTGGCAGGTGTTTCCTGACTACCACATAATGGATAGACCACCCCAGGACAGTGATGAGAGCAGGTGGCAGGTGTTTCCTGACTACCGCATAATGGAATCACTGGTCATCACTGTCCTGGGGCATACTGAAAACACTGGTCATCATAGTTCTGGAGCGTAATCAAAACACAGGTCACTATTGTCCTGGGGTGGTCTGGAAACAGATCATCACAGTCCTAGGATGGTCTGGAAAAATTGTGATGGCTGGTGTTTCTAGACTGTCCCAGGACAGTGATGACCACTGATGATTACCATGTTTCTAAATCACCCCAGGACAGTAATGTCTGCTGTTTCCAGACCTGCTTCAGGACAGTGATATCCTTGTTTCTAGACTGCTCCAGGATTGTGATGACCGGTGATTACATTACGACACAGGACAGTGATGTCTGGATTTTCCAGACCACCACAGGACAGTGATGACCAATGTTTCCAGATTGCACTAGGACAGTGATGACCAGTGTTTCCAGACTGACACAGGACAGTGATGACCGGTGTTTCCAGATCACCCCAGAACATTGATGTTCACTGTTTCCAGATCGCCCCAGCGTAGTGATGACTGGAGATGACCAGTATTTCCATATCACCCCGGATATGCTGACCGAGAAT